CTACACTTTTGACCAGGCATCAAGCTATTAATCCGGCTTCCCTCAGTGGAAGAGAACAAAACCAACAAACTCCGGAGATGCCCATCTAACTTTCTTGTGTGGACCTGTTAGCTGGAAAAAATGTCTTAACCGTAGTTGAAATGCCTGTACTTCCACTTAGACCCTAAGGAGACTTCTTATCTGAATCATGTTAGACATTCCCATTTGTGAACCATCTAACTAATACAGAGTTGCAGACACTGAGGCAGGGGGAGAAGGCTCAACTGTTAAGAGCAGTGATGGTGGCGCACGCCTTTAATCCCAGTACTTGGAAGGCAGAGGCAGGCGGATCTCTGTGATTTCGAGGCCAGCCTGGTCTGCAGAGTGAGTTCCAGGACAGGTTCCGAAGTTACACAAAGAAACCCTGTCTTGAAAAATCAAAAAAGAAAAAGAAAAGAGCACTTCATGCTCTGGCAGAGGTCCCAAGTTCAGTTTCCAGCACACACTTAAGGCAGTCCACAACCTCCTGTAACTCCTTCCTCAAGGGATCCAGCGCCCTCTCCTGGCCTCTGCTTGTACACACACAGGTAGCCATACATACACACAGGCACACACACACACACACACACACACACACACACAGAGTAAATCATTTTTGAGTTGCAAGGATTAAATGAGATGTGTATTTAAGGAATTCATTGTGTGCATACAGAAATCACTCCTTAAATGTTTGATAACTCTGGTAAACCAGACAGTTGTCTGGCAGAGGCGCCAATCTCCTCGTTTCTATTTCCTTAGCTGATACTAATAGGTTAGAGTTGATGGCACAACTCATGAGAAAGCAAACTTCCACATGGTACCCAAACCTAATGTTTGGTCCCACCATTAAATTAACCAGCCTCAGATCACAGGAGGGGCACCACCAAGCCTTCCCAGTGTTGGTAAGAGCCAGAACTGGAACACTGGCTGGAGCAAGGGGGAAAGAAGACAGAGTGAAGAGTCACACGTGAGATGGGATCAATAGGATTTGATGAATAGCCCTTAGAGAGGCTGGAGGGGGAAGAAGAATGGAGTCCGCGAGCTCCTGACTTAGATGATTAAATACGACTCTCATTCACTCAGTGAATTATCTTCTGTGCACACACTATGGTCCAGGGCTGTTCTGGGTGCAGGAGCAATCCCAGTCCAGCAAAGAGGAAAAAGATCAGCTCGTGGAGTTTTCTAACTGGGAGACTAGCATAACAGACAAAGAAACCAAGAAAATAACTGACCATGATAACTGAGACAAAGACACTGGACAAGCCAACGAGGAGACGAATAATAAGACAAAGTCTATTTCAGATAGGATGGACCCCCTGAAGAGGTAACCCATGGGGTTACCAAAGGAGATGGAGCCAAGAAGCAGGGAGGAGGGAGACAATCCTAAGAGGGGAAGAGCAGGCTACAGACTGAGGGTTGGGAAGGGTGAGGAAAAACCTTTGCATCTGAATGTTGAAGAGGGAGGGGCTAGCAGAGAGGCTGGAGGAGAAGGCAGGGCCATTAGTCGAGGATGGGCCTTGAGAAGCAGGATCTGAGGTGGAGCTTAAAGTACTGTGAGAAACCTCCAGACTAACGATCCAAGGCTACGTCCTAAAATCTAGAACTGATACTGAGATTGGAGAAAGTGCCCGATTGCGCCAGAATTGACAGAGAATTTCAGAAATAATGGATTTCTCGGGCACCAGAAATATAGGTTTCTAGATCCAGAATTGCCCAGAACCTGGAGTTTCTCCAATGCTGTGGTTCAGGAATATTTCCTGTCTCCCTCCCATGTGTTAGGATAAATCTAAGCGCTGGAGATGCATATAAGAGGTAAAGAAAGAATACACCCTAAATGAGCGTTGTGACCCTCACACAAAAGTAGCCATGCTGATAAAATATCACCTAACAGTAACTGGACCTACTCTTGATAAGGCCTGTCTTGACAAAGTGACTTTGAACTGAGCGGTGAAGAAAAAGGAGAGGCTGTCTGGGAACGAGCATTCTGGGCAGAGGGAACCACCATGGCAAAGGCCAAATGGGAGCCTGGGTGTGGTGGTACACTTATAATCCCAGCACATGGGGTGCTGAGGCAGGAGGATCACTGTAAGTGAAAGGTCATCCTAGGCTACATAGTGAGATCCTGTCTCAAAAATAAAATATGACAAACACAAAAAGACTGAGTTTAATCTTTTGGTTTATCTGAACTCGATTAACCAACCAACATAGAGAAGAGGGCATGATGAAGAAGGTGCTGTCTCATGTCTGGGTGTTCCTCCCGGAAGCTTGTCCCAGGCACTGTTCCTCACACAGATACAAAAGGTTAGAAATACTAGGCAGTTTGGATGCTCACCTTACTAGACCTGGATGGAGGTGGGTGGTCCTTGGACTTCTCACAGGGCAGGGAACCCTGATTGCTCTTCGGGCTGACGAGGGAGGGGGACTTGAGTGGGGGAGGGGGAGGGAAATGGGAGGCGGTGGTGGGGAGGAGGCAGAAATCTTTAATAAATAAATAAATTTTAAAAAAAACAAAAAAGGTCAGAAATATGATTTTTCTCCTCTCTCTGTGTGTGTCTCTCTGTGTGTGTCTCTCTGTGTCTCTCTCTGTGTGTCTCTCTCTGTGTCTCTCTCTGTGTGTGTCTCTCTGTGTCTCTCTCTGTGTCTCTCTCTGTGTGTCTCTCTGTGTCTCTCTCTGTGTCTCTCTGTGTCTCTCTCTGTGTCTCTCTGTGTCTCTCTCTGTGTCTCTCTGTGTCTCTCTCTGTATGGCTCTCTCTGTGTCTCTCTCTGTATGTCTCTCTCTGTGTCTCTCTCTGTGTCTCTCTGTGTCTCTCTCTGTGTCTCTCTCTGTGTCTCTCTGAGTCTCTCTCTCTGTGTCTCTCTCTGTGTCTCTCTCTGTGTCTCTCTGAGTCTCTCTCTGTGTCTCTCTGTGTCTCTCTCTGTGTCTCTCTCTGTGTCTCTCTCTGTGTCTCTCTCTGTGTCTCTCTCTGTGTCTCTCTGAGTCTCTCTCTCTGTGTCTCTCTCTGTGTCTCTCTCTGTATGGCTCTCTCTGTGTCTCTCTCTGTGTCTCTCTCTGTGTCTCTCTCTGTGTCTCTCTCTGTGTCTCTCTGAGTCTCTCTCTCTGTGTCTCTCTCTGTGTCTCTCTCTGTATGTCTCTCTCTGTGTCTCTCTCTGTGTCTCTCTGTGTCTCTCTGAGTCTCTCTCTCTGTGTCTCTCTCTGTATGGCTCTCTCTGTGTCTCTCTCTGTGTCTCTCTCTGTGTCTCTCTCTCTGTGTCTCTCTCTGTGTCTCTCTCTGTGTCTCTCTGAGTCTCTCTCTCTGTGTCTCTCTCTGTATGGCTCTCTCTGTGTCTCTCTCTGTGTCTCTCTCTGTGTCTCTCTCTGTGTCTCTCTCTGTGTCTCTCTGAGTCTCTCTCTGTGTCTCTCTGAGTCTCTCTCTCTGTGTCTCTCTCTGTATGTCTCTCTCTGTGTCTCTCTGTGTCTCTCTCTGTGTTTCTCTGTGTCTCTCTCTGTGTGTCTCTCTCTGTGTCTCTCTCTGTGTCTCTCTCTGTGTCTCTCTCTGTATGGCTCTCTCTGTGTCTCTCTTATGTTTCTGTGTATGTGTCCTCTGTCTCTCCCTTTGCCTCTAGGTCTCTGTGTCTCACTGGATTGGCAGTTCAGAGAAGCAAAGAGGTGAGTCCAGTTGAGTAAGTATGACCTCCTTGCTTTGTAAGCAAGAGCATCCTAGACAATGATCTTCATGTTCTGAGAGAGCCGTGATGATTAATACCTCTGAGTATGGTGATCTAACTGCTTTTGAAATCATGTGTGTTAATGTTATTATCATTTTTATGGTCCTACCAAGCTCCGAATATCTGGATTTCAGATGAAATATCTGTGACAGTGAATTCTGGGTCTGAGATACTGCATAATCCTTTCCAATCATTTCTTCTCTAAGAAACCAGAATCCTGAACGACGCTAACATTTATTGAGCATATACATTTCCCTGGCTTTCTGTGCAATCTTACGCCTCCTGGCAATGTCCAGGTAAGGCATGAACCATGACACACACACTCTTTTTCAAATGTAGAAATTGGGTAAGGTGATGGGGACTTTATCCTGTGACCAAGCTGCGTCTAGGCAGAGTCTCAGTTCCGATTTCTTGGGAATGGCTGAGATCTTGACACAGCTATTTTCTTGGCCCCAGGAACCAAAGCCCATCTCTCTGTCTGTCTCTCTCTCTCTCTCTCTCTCTCTCTCTCTCTCTCCCCCTCCCCCATCCGTTCAGGTTGCAGACACCAGCCAAAACCACCACCTGTCTCCCATATAAGAGGAAAAGTAGAGAGAAGGACCTCCTTGTTTCTACTGGAGGGAGGCGGGTGCGGAAGGTACCTGCTCCAGACGCCAGAGCCTGCGGAGGCGTGAGAAGGGTAGTATAAAGTATAAAGACTGTTATCGACTGGATAGGGGATCATACTCCCGCTAATGATTCAAATTCAGCGGTGTTTTAAAAGGTGAGCCAGCCCTTTGAAGCCTGCAACACCTCCCCGCCCCGACCCCCGGACCATTTTAAATCTTAAAAGGTCCTGCTTCCTCTTTTCCTGAGCCAGTTCTTGCAAACTTCTCAGTGCATCCACTGAAGTGTCTCTAGATGTAAGGGAAGTTAGTGTCTCCCGCTGCTCCTCTGCCTCTAAGTGAGACAGATCCTGTCTGTCCGTCCGTAGGTCCGCGTCGTCGTCCCCCCCACACACACACCCCGCGCGCCCGTCGTCCCTCTCGCCCCCGCCTCCTTTCCCTGCTTTCTCCCTCCCTCCTTCTTTCTGGGGAGGCTCTTGGCCTAGGTCCCTGAGCCCAGCCGGGTACAGGCAAAGGACCGACCTACGCGAGAGGAGTGCAGTCACATCTCCCTTGAGGCTGGAGCTACAAGCTTTTCAAGAGCGTCAGCTCACCATGAGCCGACAGCCACAGCCTCAGCTTGCGCGAATTTCGCGCTCCTCTTCCCTCCCGGTGTCACCAGCGACTTCGCCCATGTCCCAGTATGTGTCCCGCATAGATTCCAAGGGAGCATTGGACAGCAGCAGCCCCGAAGCCAACACGGAAGATGACAAGACCGAAGAGGACATTCCTACACCCAAGAACTATCTGTGGCTCACCATTGTCGCGTGTTTTTGCCCAGCGTACCCAGTCAATATCGTGGCTTTGGTCTTCGCAATCATGGTAAGTGGGGTTGATATCAAAAGCAGCTGCAAAGGAAAGATCCTGGCGGCGCGGTCTCTCACGGACTTTTTGTGCTGGGTTTTGGTGTACACACCTCTTCCTTGCCTTTCTTCTGCTCAATATTATCAGCCTCCGCAGCACAGAGTCTAGCCAAGCCTTCGGGTGGCAGAAACAACTTTGCGCTCGCTTTCCCCGCGCTCCCTCTCCAAGTTCCCTATCCCCAACTGCTTTCCTAGGACCTTACCGAGTGTGCCCTACGCTAGCAGGCTGTATGTCCCGGGCTTGGCCACACTGGTGCCCCTGCCCTCTAAGCCCCCAAAGTTGCCCTGTGTTAGGCAAGTTCTTTTTCTTTGCCGGCATTGGGCTCTGCCTCCATGGGGTCCTCCCTGAACTTGCCCCACTTTGCCCAGAATGCTTTCTGTAGGGTCAAAGTTCCTTCTGTTTCTTCCTGCACCCAGCACCCCTCCCTTGCCTCTCTCTGGCACCTGTTTTCCAGCTCTCTGGAAGTTGTCACCCGGACATTTCCACAGGACATTCTTGACTATGCCTTGCGCTCCTTTCACAAGGAAAAAGGCGGCTTGCTCTTTATTTTCCCTCAGTTTGTCCTAGACTGTCCCCACTTTGCTGCACACGGACCTTGTCGCACTATTTCCTGGAACCCCTCCACCACTCTGTCCTGTGCCCAGAGCCCCCAGCCAGTGCACTTGAGGACTCCTCCATGCAGCTGCACCCTGGGGCTCAGCTCTGTTGCCCTCTTCAATGCTCCCAGGAACCAGATCCTCCCTTATTGACTAGAGCAGCTGGTCCTGGTGGTGGCAGGTGAAATTCACATAGACGCTGTCCCGCTGCTGTCCCGGGACAACCCCAGTAGTTCCGTGCTCCCTCCCCCATAGGCCCACTTCTCCTGCAGCTAGCCAATGCAACTCCCACCCAAGGCGGGACTCAGCTGGGCTAAGGTTGGCCACCTGTAAAACCTAACCTGGGCACAGCAGGGATTCCATTTATACCTACTCACTGACCTTCCCCAAACCTGGCTGATTGCACCAGCGTGCAAGTGCGCAATCGCTGCAGTTTTTGGCTTGGTTCAAATCCCAGTCACACCACTGGTTGTTTAGTCCTAAGGTGACCAGAAATGGGTGCGGATCTCTAAACCTAGGTTTCTTTGTAAAACGGGGATTATCATAGCTATATTTCAGAGTGATTGTAAGTATTAATGAGATAACTGTGACATACCTAGAATGGTGCCCAGCATCACAATTCTAATATCAATAATAATAATTTCCTTATTCAAATGTTACTTCATGAGACCTGGCTATAAGTTTAAAACAAAAGACACTCCCCTCCCCCATCAAGCTGTAGGTGCCCCTTCCCTTTCGCTTCCAGAGCAAGATCCTTCTCTCCACCTAATATAGTGTTTAAGACTTTTAAGGTTTGATCTGGGGGGAAGCACATACAGTGCGTGAGTGGAGGTCAGAGGTCAAAGGACCACTCACCTTTTAGGTGAGTTCTGGGGATGGGACTTGGGTCGCCAGGCTTGCACAGCAGGCACCTTTGCTGGCTGGACTATCTCACTGCCCCCTTTATTTTTTACTATATCTGCTGCCTGTGTCGCCTCATTACACAAACTGCCAGCTCTGTGAGGTTGGAGATATTTACCATGTTTGTTAGTGGGTGCTGCAGAAGCAGTCACAAGAGGCTCTGACGCACGGATAAACTTAGGAAATATTACAAAACGAAGGCATGGGTGAAGGATTCACGTGTCCGTTTTGCTCCTGTTTCAAAGTCCGGGAAGTTGAAGTTATCACACCCTTCCAGTAGGACCAACCAGCTGACTTCCCCACTTCCTTCCTCTCCCTGGGTATCTGATCCTGGGTTGGTTGGGGTTTTGTTTTTATTTTCCTAGAGGCTGGAGGAGTTGTAGGCTGCCAGACTCTCCCAGCAGCAGCCTCTCAGGCTGGCACCAGTGCCCACATTCCATCCTGGTTTATTGGTGAAGCAGCTAATTTACCCTTCCCGTTGCCACTTTAGGGAAACCCCTACAGAGGCTTTCCCTCTCTCTTGCTGGTCGGAACTCAGCCACCAGCTGGCGGTGACAGGCTGGATGCTAGTGCTGCAGCTGGGAGCTGGAGCTGAGGCTTGGGATGGAAGGAAGCCTCTCTTAGTCCCATCACTTCCCAAGCTTTTCTCCAGAGCTTGACAGCATGATAGCATTTGACTGTCAGAAAGCTGTAGGAAAGTTCCATACATTTTTAAAAAAAGTTTTGGTTGTTGATCTGAAAAGTGGGGATGGGATGTTGGTGTGTGTTGCTGTTGTTTGCTTCAGTTGAGGGTTTTAATTTAATTTTGCTTTTCTTTGTTTGTGTGGGTGCCTGTGCCTGTGATATGGGAGGGGAAGAGGTCAGAGACAACAGTGTGGAGTTGCTTCTCTCCCTCCACCTTTTCGTGGGTTCTGGGGGTTGAACTCTGGTCTTCAGCTTTGTGTGGCAACTGCTTCACCCGCTATCTGTCTTGCCAGCGGTAGTTTTGTTGTTTTTTTGTTTCAGGCTTGGGGTTTGTAGGTAGCTATGCTGGTGGTGCTGTTTTGAGACAAAGTTTCGCTTTAGAGTCCAGACTAGCTTTGAATATGAGCCTCCTGCCTCCACCTCTTGAGTTGCTGGGTTGACAGGTCCATGCCACGGCACCTGCCTTGTGTACGCACGCTGTTTAACACTGAGTAGTAGAGTCATATGGATGAGACAAAATATATCTGCCAATCATGTAGAGCCTGCAGCATTGTATTGGGTATGTGTAACAGTCGTGTCTCGGATGGGTAGGTAGGTTTGGTGTCTGGAGGCACCAGGCTACATATGGAAACAAGCAGAATATGAAACAATTGAAGGTAAAAATCTAAACAGCCCCTCCTACTTGCTTGCTACTGTGTATTCTCTAAAGTATCAGAAGCAATTGCTCATTCAAGAAGCGTAAACACAGACAGGATTGATAAATTTCATGAGGATGGTTCCAAAGGGCAAAGAGAAAAAGTCTTGCAGAGGAAGGTGAGCTTCTGAGTGTGTTATAACGTTGTTGAGAGGAGAGAGGGGAATTTTATTTGTTCAAAGGTCCGTGCCTAACAAAGACTTTACAGCTGTTGGGGCCTCTCCCTGTCTTTCTCCAGGCCTCACCTGGGGAACTCACCTGTTTCTTTCACTGTTTGTATCTCAATCCTATATGAACTGAGAAGAAAGTGTCTGTAGTTAGCTCCTTCTGTGAAAACTATTCTTTGAAAAGTCTCGGGTTACCGTTGCTGTGTTCTGAGTGGCTAGTATGGTCCTCGTGATTGGTGTGGCCCTTGTGATTGGTGTGGCCCTTGTGATTGGTGTGGCCCTTATGATTGGTGTGGTCCTCGTGATTGGTGTGGTCCTCGTGATTGGTGTGGTCCTTGTGATTGGTGTAGTCCTTGTGATTGGTGTGGCCCTTGTGATTGGTGTGGCCCTTGTGATTGGTGTGGTCCTTGTGATTGGTGTGGCCCTTGTGATTGGTGTGGCCCTTGTGATTGGTGTAGCCCTTGTGATTGGTGTAGCCCTTGTGATTGGTGTAGCCCTTGTGATTGGTGTGGCCCTTGTGATTGGTATTTTCCCTTACTATTGGTGCTGTTTTACAACATACAATGTTTTACTTCCTTTGGCATTTTCATAGTAATGTAATTTCACTTGATATGCATGAAAGTTACTCTCCCTGTCTTGGACTCAGGAAGGTGACACTAGGGGGGCAAAATCAAAAACATCGGTCCTCGCACTTTCCGCTCAGTCGCTGGAAACATTGTGATGAGAAGTCACGCACAGCCCTGCATAGGAGCACGGCTCTGAATGCCGTCTCTCTGAATAGACTTGCCTTGTCAATACGGGAGCATCCTCTATTACCCCCCATCAACCCATGCTGGAGTCCTCCCCATCAACCCATGCTGGAGTCCTCCCTGACGTTTGGTTTTAATGATGGGCAAAAGGACAATTCTCTTTGTCCTTGAAGATATTTATGGAGCAAAAACTACTAAGAGCTGAAATAGAGACAGATAAGCATGAATGAGTTCATGTAATAAGAGGAAATAGACCTTGCCCTCTGGAAGCCCCATCTCAGAATTCCCAAAAATACTTTCAGGCTACGAAACTCAGGACCAAGCAAAATCTAAACAAGAAATCCCCAAATGATCTGAAAATGAAGACATCATTACTAAAAATATCCACTAAGTGCCCGCATACATCAGGATATTTTGATAGAAGTCAGCTGTCTAGGATTTTGGAGTCTGAAATGCTGACCGACACAGAGTTCTTGCATCCAGTCCAAAGGACTCAGACTGTGATCCGGGATTAATGTAACCCTACAGGCTGAGAGGATATAGGGAGAGAGAGGCAGAGGGACAGTGGGAGAAACATAGCCAGACAGCGGCAGAGAAAAAACTCCACTCCTCCCTAGACACAGAGACAGGGAATTGAGGGGTAAGAAGACGGCAGAGCCTTTGGAAAAGAGGAGAGTCAGTTTGTATAAGAGAGCATATGATGACATAAAGACTTCAGTGTCGCAGCTCACAAGGACAGAGGGCCAGTGGGATGGCTCAGAGGGTGAACACGCTTGCTGCCAAGTCAGACGATCTCAGCTCCACCACTCCATGCCACTTTGGTGCAAGCAGAGAACCAATACCCGATTGTTGTTCTCTGATTTTACATACATACTGTGGCACATGTGACCAACACAAACATACACACTCAGAGAAATGCTTAATTAAACATAGGTTTTCATTTTCATTTTTTTTAGTTTAACTCTTTTTTACTTTATTATATTTTTAAAAAGAAAACAAACTTTTTTTCATTTTACATACCAATCTCAGTTCCTACTCCCTCCCCTCCTCCCCATTCCCTTCACCTACCCTCCCCACACCACCCCCCAACCGCTTCTGGTCTTTTTCACTTTTAAAGGACAAATATTAGTATATTCAAAATAGCCAGTAGAAAACATTAAGTACCCAC